TCGGCACACACACCAGCAGAGCTGCAGGCCAGTCGGCACACACACCAGCAGAGCTGCAGGCCAGTCGGCACACACACCAGCAGAGCTGCAGGCCACGGCGGCTCACGAAACACAGGCGGGGAAGTGGAGCACAGCACGGGGCAGCGGCATCAGCGGTAAGCCAGACGCCAGACTTTAATGTCCTACAAACACACGTGGCTCTTAGGGCGTCAAGGGGGGAAATGACCTTCACACATCTGAACACTGACACACACGTGGCGGATTTTCTCACTTCTCCTTATCGAGATAAGCGAACGATTCCAGACACCCTTAGTGTTCCTGAGGCCATTTGTTTATCTGAGGTAAGCAATACACGCCGAGTAATGAGTCCCGGCACGGCTGCGGGTCGCGTCCCGCCAGCGTACCGCCGAGGTGCTGAACCCCGGCCTGAGAAAGTCCCCAGTGCGCCCCCAGGGTTTGGGGGAGGGGGGGTAGAGTAGTCTAGCTGTGTGTGATGACTTTGTTTGAAAGAGGGACATTTTTCAAAGCGCTGCTTCCCTCTGAAAGTCTCCAGCCAAAGTAATACTGGTATTCATCACCGTGGGCAGCAGCAGCGCAGGCCAGTGCGTGCGGCGGCCTTAACTGTGCTCCATGTAAAAGTGAAGACCAATCCAGAACTGCACCCCGAGGAGGAGGGCGGAGCCTGTGGGATACCAGCGCAGCATTGGCCCATCCACAGGGAAGCGGGGGGGAGGGGGCACTTTTGGCCACGCCTTCTGCAAGCGTTTGCACATTTTCATTCGTCTGAAGGGTCTGAGTCAGGGTAGCGGCTGAATTGTCTCTTCTGCCACCCACAGGCCAGACTGGGCGTCTAAGCTCATGGGAACCATCCCGGCAAGAGCCTGACAAACAAAAAGTGGAACTTTTTAAAAAAAAATTCCCCCCAAACAAGGACTCTCAGCGATGGTGTTAATCTTCTCACAGCAATGTTTTAAAACAGGACACTGCGAAATTAAAACCAAACCTCTGAGCAGCAGTGTGTTCTGGGACAGATTTCGACCCGAGGAAACCCAGCTGTTTTAGCGACAGTGTCTGGTGCTGACAGCCTTTGGAGAGACGCTCTCAGAGGCCTCCTGCACCGAGGGGCACCTAATTACCCCAAGAGCAGCCGGGCCTGACAGCAGCGGAGGACAAAACGGAAGAGCAGTAAAAATTAGACCTATAGCAGTGATACTTCATTTTTCCTGAAGAAGTTTGCAGGTACACAGTAGCTGAACATACATAAAAGATTTAGATATTAATAAACAGTAACAATAAAAAGTAACCGTGCAAAGAATGAAGGGAGCAAGCTTCTCTCTCCCTAAACTCCACCTTGAAGGTTGCAGCCCGTTCAGCAGACATCTCTCCACCTCATTCCCCAAATCTCCCGGCACGCAACTCCTCACCCTTCAGACCACGGGGACATGCATCGCGGCACCCAGCGAAAACAAAGCGGACAAGCGCCGATCTGCACGGAAGACGAGGGGGAGACCCAAGGGACCGGGGCCCTTAAAGACCCCTTAAACATTTTTATTAGGGCACATAAAGGATGAAGGTAGGAGGAGGAGCAGCAAGGGCGAGGTGTTCTCCACATGGCGTGGGGGAGCAGGTCCGGCCCGGCCCGCGGGCAAAGCCAGGCCAGCGCTTAAACGGTGCCGAGTTAATCATGCGACATCAAAAGAAGCCACAATTCACCTCTACACAAGACATCTTTCGGAACACGCTAAACATCACAGCACGCAGGTAAGACTTTATGGCCCTCTGACATCAGATACCTCAGTTTTGACGCGACAATGAGCCCGTCTTGAGGCGCACCCCCTAGGACACACGTACCTGGGCGCAAACACAGTCAGCGGCCTCAGATTACCCCCCCACGTCTGCCTCCTCGCTACGCCATCTCTCAGGATGCATCACTTGACACTCCAGCTAACTGCCAGCCTGAATTTACATCACGGCCGTTGTTGAGCTCCCCTCTCAGAGTGACTGTTACTGACCAGCGCAACCTCACGAGTCGCATAATTCACACCATAAGCACCTTCCTCCTATGTCCCATATGCGGCTGACATCACCAAACCCAAGTTTGGTTTCCATTGCCATTCCAACTCACTATTTTCCAGTCAAAGGTGCGACTCATTTTGTGGTCGGATTCATGCAGCTACATCATTCCTCATGAAAAAAAGGCAAAAAGAGTTCAACTCTCCCCAGAATGACTGGTAATTAGCCTCCCCGAATGGAAAAATGGAGCCTTCGGGACGATGTTTAAATAATCGACCAGAAAAGGCAGAACGAAGAAACAGATGGGTGTCCCGTTGGATGAAACAGCACAATGTCTGCGGCAGCTGCAGGACCCACGTCTGGCAGCGCCGAGCCCGCTGCAGCTTGGGACTCGCCCCAAACCCTTCACCAGGCACACGTGCTTGGCCAAAACTGAGCTATCGAGAGGAACCCGCAGACGTCTGAAATGAGCTCAGCTACATTTTTATTTATTTGGCACACACTTTTATCCGAAGCAGCGTACATTCTTGAAATAAAGCATGGTGTGGCCCTGGAGCAATTGGGGCCCAATGGTAAAAATCACAAATACCACCAATGGGATTAGAACCAGCAACGTTCTGATCAGAGGCAAATTGTCCTAACCTACTGAGCCATTATGGGAAATTTGGCAAGAAGCACAATTCAGGCCTTCAGACTGGATCAGCCTGATGGTGCCACAGCGACAGTCATATCTAGTCAACTTTTTGGGACTCCGCCATCGAGGGACACTTTTGGTCCTCTGCATCTGACAAAGGTCACACTTCCACGGCAAGTGACACCAGTCCTGAAACATTTCCTCCTTGCGAATCACCTCTCTGACCACTTCTCCTTGTCAGAAAGTTACATTTTAAAAGCATCCCTTCAGACGGAAGGCAGCGAGCTAAAGCACGGCATCAGGAGCGGTGACAGGGACCATGACAGAACCAGGACCATGACCGTGCAGAGAGACAGGGGCCTCCGGTGTGCGCACAAGTGCCAAGTGACTCCCTGGGGGTGTCGGAGTGTCACTCTTTACACTCTGCTCCAGCTTTTAATACCTTTGTCAAACGAATTATTTGGAAAGCAAGTACTGCTGCCTGCTCTCCCAGCCATAAAAGACACTAATTTCAACACCTTCCCTAAACCTGCAGGAAGACCACAGAAAAGAATTTATAGACACCCCCTCCCCTCAAAAAAAAACGTCCCACAACAGAGACGACTTCTCTCCAACCCAACCTCCAGATGAAAAAACGATGCCGGCGGCTGGGTCGCAAGTTGCCGTTTCACATTCCTCCGACAATGGCTGTGGGCTCGGGGCCGGAGACGAGGAACAGGCAGCGGTAACTAATACCTGATAAATGCCTTAAGTGCATGAAGTCTGCGGCCCCCAAAGGCGCGGAGCGTCTGTCCGGCATCACCAAGGCAGGATGTGGTGCAAGCCTGAAACTTCTAAATGACCGAAGAAGACACAAGGAACTCTGCATAACACGGAAGGGGCAACGTTATAAACGGCAACCACGACGGCCAGAAACTAAATGCTAAACCCCGATCATTTCACTGTTTCAGTCTCCCTGATAAATTTGCCTTTTCCATCGCTCACGTAAAGCGATACACTACAAGTAACTGAACCCCAATGCATAAATAAAACAAGACTAACCCACATAAGGCGAGTTGCAGAGATGAAAAACTTGAGACCATTATGATGGGCAATACGGGTTTCAAGGACTAAAACGGCTCCTAGAGCGAGGGGGGCTGGGTACAGCTCCGTATGACGGCCAGCTAAAAAACAGGCGCAGGCTATTTAGTACAATTTCACGGCACTCGTGTGTTCATATGGAAACAGGTTTGGCTTAAATCAATTATTAAAAGTCGTTGATATTTTTAATGAAATCAGAAGCAATGTACCCTTTACTTTAAAATTCTCAGTGATGGACTATTACCACAAACCCGTCTGCAACTAAGAGAAAGCCACTGTCCAAAGTACACGGAGGCTTACGGAGCCTGGCACCGGCAGAGCCAAAGACATACGGCAACCGCGGTGGCAGTTAGATGATATGAGCAGGGACGTGTCGCATGGGGCTACTATAACACAAAATGATAATAAACAAACAGAGACATCCGATTCGACCAAGCGCCATGGCACAAGCGTGTGACTCACCGACAGCTTTCTTTGTGGAGGAACGGGGTTGGGGGAGAGGGGGTACCGGACTGGAGTTTGCAAACCCCGGTGTGTTTGTGACCATCGTCGGGGTGGAGGATAAGGTTACAGTGCGGATACAATGTGTTCGCTTACAAATAAATCGGGCACAATAAATAATGCGGTCGTGAATAAATCAGGGAGCCGGTGTGATCGCAGCGACAGCGGGAGGCAGGGACGCCGAAGGTAGGCGAAATACACGCTGCAGACCCGTAAATGACCAAACACACTTCCCGTGAAAGCAAATAATCAGTGCAAACTTCACGAATAGCAGTAACAGCAATCGGACTCTTATCGTTACAGTGTTTTACGTGTTTTAACAATCAGCAATAATGCGACAAACAAAATGGGCAGCACCAGTTTTATATCCAAGTGCCGGACAGCTGCCGCCGCTTGCCGTCAGAGATCTGACCTCGATTCCTGCTGTAGCCGAAAAGCCAACGTATCCATCGCGGGCAGAGAAAAGCAAATACAAAATCTTACCTTCCGAGACAACGCTGTCCCCGAATAAAAATAGTAAGCGATGCCAAGCACCCAGAGGACGGCGAAGCATAACAGTATCCTGGACTTCCTTCTCATTGCCGTGCTTTTGTTTTATGGAAATATCAGTGTGCAAAGCGAGGGTGACCGAATCGGCGCTAACGGGAGCCTCCGATGACCGACATGCAATGTGTCTGTGCTGAACGCGGCTCCGGCGGCGGTGCAGAAAGAGCAGGAAGCGGCCGACATGGCCGGGTTAGAGGGGAAAGGGTAACCGGCTCTGATCCAATCAAAGCCCGCAGAGGCGCCGCCGGAGGAGGGGTGACGGCGATGGGGAGCGGAGCTTCCAGACTCCCGGCTCCAGCTCCTGATGGTCACAGGATCTGAAAAGGAGGCGTCTCACAGATTATTGATGCTGCAGTCATGGGGATCTATTATTATTGTTGTTGTTATTATTATTATTGCGAGACTGGAATGCGGCTGTACGGTCTGGAATTTGCTCACGTTTGCAACAGTAGCTTAGGCTAAATAATGTAATATATGATGAGCGATCAATCTCGTATTTCGATATCGCAAACAACCCGTAAACCACTATTGTATCGAGAAAATTGGCCAGTGGCCTGTCTCTGGTTATTTCTGTGGCTTCAGGTCAGCGCATAACCTCATTGCCGTATATATTAATATATTAATGCATAAATGGGTAACTGTTTTTTCGCTAACGATTTTTGCGCCTAAAACGGCAGACTCGGCTTCGTCTGGAGGTTTTAAAATACGTAGGCGTGGGCTAAGGGCAGAGAAAATGTCACGATTTACGAACGAGAATATACGTTTCAAAGAATGTGCTTTATTTTTCGTGAGGCCGTGAGATTAGCATTATATTCCCCCAAACAAAGAGATATATGCGAAGACCATTTATTCATATTAGTGTAAAATTATCCTGTGGCGTGTGATTAGGATCTTTCGAAGCTTCGCTTATACCGAAGGCTGAATGTCCGCATCTCATATTATAAGCAGTTCTAAGGTAAACGGTAATAATGTTTTAATTACTACACGTGTAATGGAAACGCATTACAAGCCACTATCAAGCACATTTTCTCATGCTTTCATTGTTTCACAGACTCCTCGCTGTACTTCAGTCTAATGCAATAAAGCGCATGCTTTAATATTCAATTACCTATTGTTTTTTCATATAGGCCTAGTGCAATAGCACACAGATGATCTAATTATCTTGCTCATTAAGCAACCTACTGTCTGAAGTTTCGATAATGATATGTTCAAAGGGGTTTGATTCAGCAGAACAATGCCTGCAGTACTATTTCAAAACCAGATTTCAAGGCCGCCATGCTATGATAAACGGTCACTTTCCGTTGACTCGCTCTGCTCAGTAAAATGTCACACATAAAGGGAGAGTTTATCGGGTTAGGATGATCTCTTTCTCGGTGCAGAGGGTTCACTGTAGATCTTAAGCTAACTGGCCAAGGGACGTGCAAAGACGTGCAGATGGTGTTACATATAATAATAATAATAATAATAATTGATACTTTATTGATTCCCGTGGGGAAATTGTTTTTACGCCTCCCTCAACTTGCTCTTTGCAGAGTAAGTTGTCCGCGAAGGGCAGCCACCTGTTGGGGCGCCCAGGGAGCTGAATTAAAATGCGGTGTGATGACCTGTTCAGAGGAGGAGGTACAGTCGAGCCTTCCTCGTCGCGGGGGTCTGGGGCACAACCCCCTGCGACGAGGAAGAACCACATAAAAATCGGCGAGGGAAGTTAGAAGAAACGAAAAGTGCTTGGAGATCCCACGCGAGAGGCTGCAGACTCGGGCGTCTTTCAAAGCAGCACTGAACATCTATGTATATTTCACGCATTTATGAGTTACGAAACTTATCGTGTCATCTAATGGCCTTCACGTACCTGCCATGTACGGCTTTGGAAAAATTCCCATGTAATTTCTTATGCCGACCCCGCAGTATATCGAAACCGCAGTCGTGATTCAAAAGGATCGACTGTACATAGCCTACCAGGGGGCATTCAGTACAAAGATGATCTAAGATCGATTAATGTCCCTGTACTGTCCCCCTACCTCTTTTTGAGAGATGAAACCATCAGAGATCGACTAGGCTAACCAAAGGAGACCGTTCTTCCGTGGCTCATGGTCAGAGACTCATTGGGAAAAGTCAATGAATGAGCACAATCCGGATACCCAAGCCAATTAATGATCAAGGACCGAATGTACTCAACAAATGTCCAACACTTCAGTTGTGGAAACAGGGTCTCAACTGGGGTCGCATGCTGTACTTCCATATCTATTCAGCCTATGTTGCTGATCGATTCAGCACCTCTCCTGCTGAATCGCACGGTAAGGTCATCATAACCTAATTGGGGAGAGGTGATTAGAGAAGAAAATCTATAGCATAAGAATGATCCACAATAAATCATGAATTTGGAATTTAGGATTGTCCCCCCCCCACCACCACCACCACCACCCCACAAACGAATGGGTAACAATTTACTTTGTCTCCCATCTGGATAAGAGAAGCTGGAGATGGATTTTGTTACAGGCTTAGGAATATTACACAGGGATACCATTACCGTGTGACCAGTAATAGACTCATTCCAGTCACCTTGAGCAAGAAGTCCTCCATTTCACAGATCCTTCCTGTATTCTCATTAAAGATGCAGACTAACATGGCTCCTCCATGGGTCACTGTAGTAAAAGATGCAGACTAACATGGCTCCTCCATGGGTCACTGTAGTAAAAGATGCAGACTAACATGGCTCCTCCATGGGTCACTGTAGTAGAAGATGCAGACTAACATGGCTCCTCCATGGGTTCCTGTAGTACTTATCTTTAGCACTTAGCATTACCTTCTTCCAGAGAGGTTTACAAACCTGAAGCTGCACTACAGGTCACTGAATTCTGCTCCGTTATACATACGGGACATGCCCCCACCTCTGGGGGAATTGCAAGGTCAACACCTGCCCCCCACCCCCGGCGACTCCAGCTGTTGCAGCATGTTATTTCTCAAACAGGCTACAGTGAACTGTAATTGTAGGGAAGAGCCAGCCCCCCAGTATTCCCACACCCCAACTCCAGCCTGGACACCCACAGACATGGGCTCTTGGAGGGGTAATTACCTGCGTTGCGAGATCGGGGAGAAGAGGCAGGGTCCACTTCGTTAGGTGGCTTAACGAGGTGTCACCAAGGGACAGGGGGCTTTTGGTGGGAGTGCTCATTAATATGCAGGGTCTGCTGTAACATTTCATGGGGGACCACTGCATTTATATCACATTCACATGTAGTTCCTTCGATGCTACCTGAACTTAGAGTAACATCCTTGGTGACTCAGGAGGTATCACTGATGCCATCGACCTCCAGGGCATGGGGTCGCTTCTTGCCTCCTGTGGTGTGTGTCTGTGTGTGTCTGTGTGTGCATGTTCTCCCCAGGACAGATGGAGTTCTTCCTGGGCAACACGTGTGTGTGTGTGTGTATATGTGCCCCATGACAGACCAGCGTCCCGTCCACGCTGCAGCCCTGCCTCGCGCCCCGTCCACGCTGCAGCCCTGCCTCGCGCCCCGTGACGGACCGGCGTCCCGTC